AACAATAATTATACTAGTTAAGTCTGATACAAGTGTGAAACATATTTACTTATTGAAACAATAATTATACTAGTTAAGCTCTGACAAAAGTGTGAAACATTTTTACTTATTGAAACAATAATTATACTAGTTAAGCTCTGACAAAAGTGTGAAACAGTTTTACTTATTGAAACAATATGCTAGTTAAGTCTGATACAAGTGTGAAACATTTTTACTTATTGAAACAATAATTGTACTAGTTAAGTCTGACAAAAGTGTGAAACAGTTTTACTTATTGAAACAATATGCTAGTTAAGTCTGACACAAGTGTGAAACAGTTTTACTTATTGTAACAATAATTTATTCCAATTAAACCTGATATATGAATACACATTTACAAATTACAGCTAATGCTAAGAACTTGCATGTTTCAACATACACAGTATCCTTAAATATAGACAAGTGTTCAGATTTTGTGAAATTATGTTTTCTGTTGTCGATAGTTTTATTGGCCGTAAATAATACACCAACGAACTGTATAATTAACAGACGCCGTTTATGGATGCAACTACGTTTTAAGTTCACAAACACTTTGATGAAATAGAACAATAAGAGACTCCTGAATTTGAAACACAAGTAAACAGTTTTGTTAACATGACGTCTAAGCATCCTGTACATTATAATTACGAAACAATGCAACCTTAACTGCAACAATAATTTTGTGTATAATCTAACAAAATAGGTTTCACTAGTGACAGTGTATTATCTAACAAAATAGGTTTCACTAGTGACAGTGTATAATCTAACAAAATAGGTTTCACTAGTGACAGTGTATAATCTGACAAGATAGGTTTCGCTAGTGACAGTGTATTATCTAACAAAATAGGTTTCACTAGTGACAGTGTATAATCTAACAAAATAGGTTTCACTAGTGACAGTGTATTATCTAACAAAATAGGTTTCACTAGTGACAGTGTATAATCTAACAAAATAGGTTTCACTAGTGACAGTGTATTATCTAACAAAATAGGTTTCACTAGTGACAGTGTATGATCTGACAAGATCGGTTTTACAAAAAACAGTATATAATCTGACAAGATCGGTTTTACAAAAACAGTGTATAATCTGACAAGATCGGTTTTACAAATGCCTCTATGTAATCTGACAAGATATATAAAACTTTCTTACAAATCTCGTCACTAAACTGTAGAGTCTTTGTTATATTTCTTCACTCTGTATTTACCAACTGTTCCCTGCAGTTAAAATAAGAATTTATTGTTTTCGGAAGCGTCACGTGACGTTGAACGCCATAAAAACAGAAATGCTGGCATTCATTAAGAATCACCAATGTTCAGTGAATTTCCGCAAGGCCATAGAACACAGAAGTTAAATAAAACACTCTTTTCATAGCCCTGTAAGTTCAGACACGTGTCCCTTTTCACATTTTATGTTCGGTTAACTATATTTTAAAGTCAAGCTTCAGTGCTTCGAAGGAAACAAGGGGGAATCCTCAATAGTCGCGGCTGTAATTAGATCTGAAATCGGTCAAGAGATGGAGCTATGAGCTAAAAGTTTGTACTTGAAAAAAAAGGAGCTGGTTGATAGGCAGAAAATATCTTGTTTTCGTAAACTGGCTTCCATAAACATACTAAATCAGAAATTGATGAGGTGCAAGTAACGGACAGGAACTTACCTGGGGATGAGATGTGATGGTCAGTTAAAGGCGACACCTATCGATTTACCCCGACCTGTTGAGAATATAATTGTCATTCAAAGAAGCTATTAACTGTTAACTATCTGTCACGATGGTCGTCCAGCGACATTACAAAATCATAAACTTATTTCATTTGTGTACCCAGGAGAAGAAAAAAGGTCTTAACGAAATGTTGCCCTGAGGCTGAGCTGAGTATGGGACTGATAAGTACTAAAAAAAGGTCTTAACGAAATGTTGCCCTGAGGCTGAGCTGAGTATGGGACTGATAAGTACTAAAAAAAGGTCTTAACGAAATGTTGCCCTGATGCTGAGCTGAGTATTGGGACTGATAAGTAGTAGCCTGTCGAATATTTTTGTTTATTTGGGGGGGGGCAGTAAGTCTACGGACTTCTAACGCTAAAAACCGGGTTTCGATACCTATGTGCCTTTGTTCTAAAACAAACAAACAAACAAACAAGTGCAAAGCTAAACAATGGGCTATCTGTACTATAAGACTTACCACTGGGGGGGGGGGGCTGTCAAGTGTTAACCATACATCCGGAGGGCTGGTTGCAACACCCAAAATGGGCTGAATACAAAACGATAAAACCAACAGGTACATCGATATCAATTTGCGATAATCATTTTGAGCTAATTTGGACAATAAAGGATAGGTCTACATGCCAGCTGTTTTTTGTTCTCTTTCATTTTTTTATCTTACTAAACATTTAGAACCACAATCTACAAAGTTAACACGACACATTGCTTCACCATAAAGTGCTTTTCAAGGACGTGCGTGGAAACTCAGATAACACCACAAACTGCTTGCTGGAAATATGACTCATTTCCAGAAACTACACCCTGCTTAAGTTAACATGGGGGGACATGCCCCCAGCACTTTTTTTCTAGGACGAGGAGATCTTAACATTGCAACTGAAACGTTTTCTCTCCATAACTCACTCATAAAACCTCTAGTTAAACCTCCTCCACCCCTAATTTTGAGGTCAGTGGTCAGTCGATAACATGTGGGGGGACATGTCCCCAGCACTTTTTTCTAAGACGAGGAGATCTTAACATTGCAGCTGAAACTTTTTTCTCTCCATAACTTACTCATAAAACCTCTAGTTAAACCTCCTCCACCCCTAATTTTGAGGTCAGTCGAGAATTCAACAACTGGTCAGACAATTCTGTCGACTAACCGACAGTTTGTTGTAAAATTCATTTTATTAAAATATTCAATAAAAATAAATTTTTCTTAAAGCTTTTTAATGAAACGGAAGTTGTAAGCAAAAATGTATCAAAAATTTATGCTAATACAAAAAAATCGGACAATATCCAAACATTCTGTATTCGAGTGCGTACTGCAGGAGTTTGCTGTTCAACAGTAATGACACCACAATACCAATTGTTTGTAGATAAGCACAAAGCTACACAATGGGCTATCTGTGTTGTGCTCACCACGGGTATCAAAACCCGCTTTCTAGCGTTGTAAGTCCGTAGACTTATTGCTGTATCACTGGAGGATGTTACCAATTGCTTCAATACCCTTTAGCTGCAGAAACCATGACGACAACGAACACTAAAAAAAAATGTCTCGTGCCGACTGTTGATATTAATCACCTCACAAACGACACCACTTTCAACAGAAACGTATGTCAATAAGAATGATATTTACATAATTCCAAACATTTATCATCGTACAAATAGTGTTAATATGATTAGATCTGTTCGTTTTCAGAGCACAGCTACATTGCGGTATCTGTTGTGTCCATCGCGTGGAATCGAACCCCGGGTTTTAGCGTTGTAAGGCAGTAAACGTACCGCTGTCCTACAGGAGGACTAACGTGATTTAAGCCTGACGACAACTTCACGAATTAATATTACAAAATCGATGTTAAATCTAAATTTAAAAACAGGCAGCGCCATCGTGTGAGGCGTTATACGTTTAAAACCATTAGAATTAGTAGCCTTACTCCTGCTCCGGAGAGATTGGTTTGGTTTGAATTTTGCACAAAGTTACACGAGGGTTGTCTGAGCTAGACGTCCCTAATGTAACAATGATAGACGAGAGGGAAGGCAGCTAGTCAACACCAAACACCGCGAACTCTTGACCGTCACATTATAACGCCCCCTATGGCTGAAAGGGCGAGCATATTCGGTGACGGGGATTCGAAACTGCGAGTCTAGCGCTCTAACCACTAGGCCAAGCCAGGGCCCGCTTAGGAGAAAACTGACTGAATAGATACTAGTAAATTAATAAATAAAACTTATTGAAATATAATATATTTCACATGATCTACATCATCGCTCGCTCGAGAAATGTTATCCAAATATTTTTTCCATTGCCCAAATTTTCTGAGAGTATGTTCCATTATTATTCTCTTATATCAGGTGAAACTGGGAAACAAAACGAGGCTTCTGAATGGACGTACCAACTTAAAATAAACTTACTTACCCTTTCGTGAAGACTCCTTAAGTCGTTAGTGATGACCTGTGGTTTAGAGCTCATCAAAAGACCCGAGTCCTCTTGATCTTCGCAATCCGAGCCTCCATTAGCCAGTTCAGCGTCAATTTCTTCTTCCATCTGAACCAGGAGAGGAGCGGGCATCCCAAACTTTGACCCTCGGCGAGCCACTTCTAACAGGCACAATATGAAACTTTTCTCGTTCTTCCGGAGCACCAAGTCATCAGTTTCAAAGAGCAGGCATTCCTTAATGTCCAGCTTGCGACACCAGGTGATGAAATTTGAAACGTTATCTCGAGCTTGAAACGTACCGGGCTGGACATCACTGCGATACATTACGTCACGCTCCGGGATGGGCAAATTGAGCCCATTCCGCCCAGCTTCGTGCCACTCTCGCGCCATGCGGAGCACGTTATTGGCGTGTTGACACAAAATGACCCCCGTCTCTAGTCTCTCCAAGAAGTCGTCCACTGTGATGTCAATATCGTACAGAGTTTTTAACCACTCCGCCAAGTCCTCTTTCATCGCATACAGATACTCTTCACTGGTTTTGAAAGGCCGGAAAGGCCGGGGTTCTAAATGCATAACGTGAAATTCCTCATCATCGGTACCTGTAGTTTGACTGCGGTCGTCTGCTGCCGTATTAGGCATAGCAACAACTTCTTCACAGCTCATCTCTGAACTGAATAAACAAATGTTTCGTATTTTTTTTAAAAAAAAGATGTAATCACACACACACACACCAAAAAATGAGTAAGACACTTTAAACTATCGATTATAAATCAGACAAATTAACAGCGAATATCAATAACGAAAAAAGACTTACTAAATTTCGCGATGTCTTCTCGAGACCGCAATAAGTTGTATATCACCAATCTCGTCGTTACCAGTTTACATTAGTTGAGTTTACATTAGTCTGATTACGTCATTAGGTACTGGCAATGACGTATTTGTGGTGCTACTGAACAGTGACTCCATAACTTCGCTGCTCGAACTCAAATGCTTTGATTCAGCTGCAGAATCTCCCATATAAAGTTAGTCAATCACTCCACTCGGATAGCCAGAAGCGAGCACGTGATCACGGCTAGCATTTTTATGACTGTACGCGTGAATAATTTCATTTTATATTTCATTGGGCAATAACTTTTGTTTTGGAAGACAACTTGATCGCCATCTACCGAAAACAAAGAAAACTTTGAATCAGCTAATTTGTGTACACAACTGTTTAATTTGTGCAAGAGTCCTAGTTTATAACAAATTAAATAAAAAGAGCTTCAGATGATTTTTTTTTTATGGAACTAAATGAGGACAATATTTTCAGTTTGCCCCGAAAATAAGATTACAGTTAGGTAGCAAGTTTGTTTGTAATTAAGCACAAAGCTACACAATGGGCTATGTGTGCACTGCCCACCACGGGTATCGAAACCCGGATTCTAACGTTGTAAGTCCGCAGACATACCGCTGTGCCACTGGGGGGCTAAGTAGTAAGTTAATATATGTATATATCTATGTGTGTGTGTGTGTGTGTAAATATATTAGGTCGTCGAG